GGTATATAAATTCAATAAATAAATAAATAAATAAATAAATAAATGAGAGCGCAGGAGATACCCATCCCGTTTGCATTCGCTATTACTCGCCTGTTCTCCCGTTGATCGGGGCCGTAGTTCTATTGCCGAGTCATTCACGAAGCATGCCTCTGGTGCATTTCCCCCATTCTTAAGTTCTATTGCCCCTCCCCTGCATCTATAATCATCCGGGGGGGTGCCCAGGTGCTTTTGCCTCCCATTTGCTACCTTCCTCGTTAGCGGGTGCGCTCGTCTGTCTGGCCAGGTGTCATCAATGGGATATAACGGAGTAACGGAGCTTTTCCCTTCTCCCCGGTATGTGTGTATGCCCCTTGGGGGAAGCCATCCAGTGGTACCTGTTCCTTCCCTCGTCCTGACTGGGTTAACCTTAACCTCCCTAAAGATACTAGTTCCTGCTCCTACCCATGACAGTCAATGTCGAACAAAACCTGGTTGTATAGGCACAGAGGAAAGCAAACCATTACAGTTTAGAATATAATAAAATACTTTATTTGGCCAAGTGTAGTTAAAAACTCAAGGAATTTAAAAATCTAGCGACAAGGACATATTTCACTTTCCCTTCTGCCAAAGGAATCTCTTCCTAGCATTTTCTAAGTCCTTGTCTGACAAATTAAAAAAAAATCTGATTGGATCAAAGATTACACAAGAAAATAGTGGAAATGGAGTACCAAAATATTTGTTTAGTAGGAGATTTTAACGCAATTATAGATGGAAAGTTAGATTATAGGAGTAGTAAAATAGGGCAAAAAGGAAGAAATATTTTGCCTAAGGTTTTTTTTCAGAATGGCAGAAAAAATTTGTATACAGGATATGAGAAATAAATCCTAAGACATCTCAATATACATTTTATTCAAACAGCCACAAATCATGGTCTAGAACTGACATTATATGGATATTTCCTGAATTAAGGAGGGATATACAAGAAATCGGGATAGAAACTAACGTATGGGCGGACCATAATCCAATAAAGATGATCTGGAGAGAAACAAAGAAAAAAAGAAGATAGACTTTAAACCAATTCTTATTGAAAGAGAAAGAATTTATACAAAAATCCGTAAAGGAAATGGAATTTTTCTTCAAAGAAAATAAGAAAGAAGATACATCACTCCAAAATGTTTGGGATACAGCCAGTGGTGAGATTCAGCCAGTTCGTACCACTTTGGCAGAACCCGTAGCCAATTTTTTGTTGCCCAGGCCCAGAATGGATTTCTGGAAGCGGCATCCACAGAGAGAACCGGTTGTTCACATATTTGAATCCCACCATTAGATACAGCTAAAGCATATTTTAGCGGAGTAGCCATAACTTATATGGCAAAAAAGATGAAAGACAAAAAACAACAAACTAAGCTTACAAAAGAACTTACAAAACTAGAATTAGAACTACAAAGAGACCCACAAAAGAAAACTCTTAAAAAACAAATGGAGATAATAAAACACAAATAAATCTAATAGAAGCTGAAGAAATGTCTCAACAAATCAAAAGAGCAAAACAAAACTTTTTTGAAAATGCTAATAAGCCAGGGAGATGGTTGGCTTATTAACTGAAAAAAGAAAAAAAAAAGAAGAAATTGATAAACAAACTACAAGATGTGAGAGGCAATCTACAATGTCAAAATGATGCAATAAAAAAAAATTAAAGAATTTTATGAAACACTTTATAGTACAGAAGAAATTCCACAGGAAAAAATAAGGCAATATTTAGAATATGCTAAGCCACCAAAAATCTCTGAGAATTTCAAAAATATGCTAAATGGGAAAATAACAGTGATGGTTGACAGAAGCTATAAAAAGACAAAAAAAATGATAAGACACCAGGCCCAGATGGGCTACCAGCAGAATTTTACAAATGTTTGCAAGATACCTTAATCTTACCAATGCAAGAAGTGTGTAATGAGGTATTACTAAAAGCCAAACTACCAAATACATGGATAGATGGCAATATTACCCTAATACCCAAAGAAGACTCAGACTTGACCCTGATAAAGAACTACAGACCAATATCTCTACTAAATGTGGATTATAAAATCTTTGCTTCAATAATAGCAGAAAGACTAAAGAGATTCTTGATTGAATTTATACATTCAGTCCAAAATGGATTTTTACCAAAGAGACAAATAAAGAATAATTTAAGAATGATTTTAGACACACTGGAATATTACGAAATGCACCAAGGAAAACAAATGCTCTCTACAAATGCAATGCTCTCTACATGGGGCTCCCCTTGAGGTGCACCCGGAGGCTCCAGCTAGTTCAGAATGCGGCTGCGCGGGGGATTTTGGGGGCCTCTAGATGCTCCCATGTAACACCTCTCCTGCGCGAGCTGCACTGGCTGCCGGTGGCCTTCCGGGTGCGCTTCAAGGTGTTAGTAAAAACTTTTAAAGCGCTCCATGGCAATGGACCTAGGTATCTGCAAGACCGCCTCCTACCAAACACCTCCCTTCGACCAGTCCGCTCCCACAGAGAGGGCTTCCTTAGAGTGCCGTAGGCCAGACAATGCCGGCTGGCGACCCCCAGGGGGAGAGCCTTCTCTGTGGCAGCTCCTGCCCTCTGGAATGACCTACCCCCCGACCTACGTACAGTTGCGGACCTGCGCCTTTTTCGCAGATCCCTGAAGGCCCATCTATTCTGTGCGGCCGGCCTGGCGTAGTTTGATTATGTTTCAGTTGGGGTTTTTGTATGGGTGTGTTTTTAGAACAGGCCTATTATTTAATTCGATTTTAGAACAGAAACTATTTATTTATTATCGTGGTTTTTAGTATCGCCTGTTCACTGCCCTGAGTCCCGTAAGGGCGGTATATAAATTTAATAAATAAAATAAATAAATAAATAAATGGCTTTGATCTTTTTAGATGCACAGAAAGCTTTTGACAATGTCAATTGGCAATTTATGGTTCAACAACTAAACTATATGGACTTTGGAGAAAATTTTATGAATATAATTCAAACAATTTATCATAGACAAATGGCCAAAACAATTGTGAATAGAGATTTCATGGAGAGTTTCAATATTAAAAAGGGCACAAGACAAGGGTGTCCTTTATCCGCACTATTATTTATCTTAACTCTGGAAGTGTTGAATAGGAATGTTAGACAGGATCCAGAAATCAAAGGAATGGAGAGAAAAGATGAAAAGTACAAACTGTAAAAAATTAATAAAATATACATTAAAAAAATAAAAAAACTGATCGGTGTTTGGACGAAAAAGACCCACCACCCGAATACTGATTGTTCTTCCTACTTTTTACTGCTCCACTTATTCCTAGGTTAGTTAATACCTCCGAAGACTAGAAATAAAATAGCCCTCTGCTTCTTCGGTCCTCACCTCCACCTCCCGCAAGGCCTCCAATTCATCAGTGTTGTGCATCCAACCTTCCATTCCCCAACCTTCCCAAGGCTGTTTGGCACCTTCCCAGTTTTCTCCACGTAACCATTTCCAACGAACCCGCCTGCCAAATGCCACTGCACACACCCATCCTCGCAAACCTCGCTACTATAGAGCGGCTCTTTATGGGGCTTGTCTGGAACCGAACAATAGGAACACCGGGTTGTGGCTACAATTTGGGCACCAAGAACAGAAGGACACCTGCTCCGAGGGAACCCAGAGCGGCGGCGGAGAAAAGACCAGGAGGTCCCAGGCAGCAGGCTTCTCCACAAAGTAGGTGCCTTCGCTTACAAACCACACCCACAGAAGATCGTGTCATCTAGTCCTTCGCCCCTACCTGAAGCCCGCGAATACAAGGGAGACGTTCGGGGTGTCCCTGGCTCCGCCATTTTCCTCCTCCGGCGCCCTAGATACCGCTGCTTACTTTTCTTGCCAGCCGCCTGGGACCGCGCTTAAAGCACCGTAACCGATAATAATGTAGTATTACTCCTGCTGCTACTGCGCGGCCACCACCGCACAGGCGCATTTCGTTTCGGCACTACACCTGACGCGTCGTTAGAGAATTGGAGAGGCTGGAGGTGGATACAGTCGCTGGATGTTGAGAGAGCAATTGCTGAAAACTAGGGAGCCTGAGCGGCCGTGTAGCTTCTGGCACTTTCTAGGTGTACATTCCTTCTCTCCGCGACTCTTGCTACCTTTTGATTAACGTGTGGCAACTTGCTCGTGCTCCCATTCTTTCTTCTTTTTGCCCTGGGCATCAGCGCCTGTTCGGCAGCCTGGTCGCGAGTGCGCGCCAAAAAGGATTCGTGACGGTTGCCCTTGATCCCGAAAGCAAAGCTGCTACTCTGGGAGGCAGAGAGCAAAACGCAAACGGTTGCTTCAGGGGGGTTGGCTGAATTTCCAGATTTACGTTAAGCACTCCTTTCAATTAACGGGAGAATTAAACTAAACCACGCGGACGAGAAACGAGTTCGGGCAGAACATTTTCTCCCAAATGTTTGTATTTTTTCAAACCAAAGTGCAAATTCACCATATGCTGTCCCTCGGATCATTGTAGTGAAGTTTATTTGACAAAAGCCCCCAAAGAGTTTCTCCCAGTCTGATTTTATAGGCTTTCTTTTGAGATACGAGGAAGAATACAGGGATACAGTGGAAAAAAGGACAGCAAGAAGTAGGAGCTTCAGATAGGTACCCTAAAGCATCAAGGAAGTTAACAGGAAAAAAAAAAGCTCAGAGAAGCAGAGATAAATCCTCCAATCTTATAGAAAGGTAAACTATCTGAACCCTAGTTCAGATAGCCTGGCTGAGGAATTCTGGGAGTTGAAGTCCCCAAGTCATAAAAAGGCCAAGTTTGAAGACCCCTGCCTTAAGGGATCAACTGGAGACATATCGTAGAGTGTCCATGTGGTTGCTGAGTCAATCCTGATGCTTCAGTCAGTATGATGTAAGTCCTGAGAGAAGTTTGTAGAGTTTCCAGGGTATGAGACAAATTAATCTGTCATAAAGAAGCCAGGATAAAACATGCAATATAATTTTCATAAGATAAACTGTATTGAAGTGAGATAAATAGGAATATACACCCATGCAAGGGAGGTTGGGGGAAGAATAAACAATAACAAATGGAATGAAGCAAAATGAAATGAAATACGGAAGATAAAAAACTGACAGTGACATATGCTAATAGAGCTGTATGATAATGCAGGCTGAATTCCACAATTCACTTTGTTCAGGGGCACTAATGCAGCACTTGTCTGCAACTCATTAAAACAGCTACACAATCTAAAAAAAAAACTTTTGAAAAGCTGCAAGTATCCATAAAATATCTTTTTGGAATTAAATCCAAAGTACTGCCCAGTCCTAATGTTCAGTATGATTTCCAATTGATCTAATCTCTTAATATTTGTCATAGCATCACTCATATCCAACTCACTTCATTTTGTTGTTCCCATGATGTATGCATATGCAAACTCCACAGATGTACAGTAATAACTTAACTGTGAGGCAAAAAATGAGTGCTCCAGCAAAAACCTGCTTAAAAAACAGTAAACTTATGCAAACAGGAAGATAAAAAACACTTTTAATTTTCCAGAGTTTTCAATATGCTTCAATATTTAGCCATCATCAAGCCTTTTCTTATCACATTTTTATTCTGGGTCCCCACCTACACCTCATTTCTCTTTTCAGCCAAAATGTTTTTCCCACATTCTTGTTTTGTTCAATTTCTCTAACAATCCTGTTCATTATAATATTTTTGGATTTCTTCTAAACATTGAAATAACAGGTTTATTGTTTAAGTATAGTTTGGGCCACGCCTTTAGTGAACTGTCCTTAATTGGGGCAGTGTCTCAATTGTATATCCATTGACAAATAATTAGCTTATAGATCTCCACTATCAGAACTGAGGCAAAGTATCTCAAAATAATTCTGTACTGGATGAAGTGAAATGTACAAATAGCTAAAATGTTCAACAGCTTCTGACAAAAGCTTCCTAGAAGAGCTATAAAAACAGCTTGTAAAGGTAACATTTCCCATTTTCATCTTATGCCCTTATAATTTTGATAGTACAGGTAGTCCTCGACTTACAACAGTTTGCTTAATGATCATTTGAAGTCACAGCACTGAAAAAAGTGACAATTTTTCACACTTATGACCATTGCAAAATCCCCATGGTCATGTAATTTACATTCATATGCTTGACAACTAACTCATATTTATGACGATTGCAATGTCCCAGTCATATTGATCATATTGACAGTTAGAACAATTAACCAATGGAACAACCTGCCTCCAGAAGCGGTGAATGCTCCAACACTGGAAGTTTTTAAGAAGAGACTGGACAGCCATTTGTCTGAAATGGTGTAGGGTTCCTGCCTGAGCAGGGGGTTGGACTTGATGACCTCCAAGGTCCCTTCCAACTACTACTACTACTACTACTACTACTACTACTACTACTACTACTTCTTCTTCTTCTTCTTCTTCTTCTTCTCCTTCTCCTCCTCCTCTTCATCATCTTTTGTGACTTGACAAGCAAAGTCAATGGAGAAACCAGATTTACTTAACAATTGTGTTACTAATTTAACAACTGCAGTGATTCACTTAGCAAATGTGGCAAGAAAAGTCGTAAAATGGGGCAAAACTCACTTAACAAATTTCTCACTAAGCAAAATTAATTTTGAGCTCAATTGTGGTTGTAAGTTGAGGACTACCTGTATTCTAACATCTTACTAGTTGGATTACTAAAATGCTTCATATTTAGGAATCCTCTTGTAGTCAGAATCTTCAAATGATTTAAACATCAAAATATCGAAGCTATGCTGTTTGTTTCTCCTATCTGCTAGAGAGCATTTTTTATTATAGCTCATTAGAAAGTGAGTCAGATTTTATCAAAACCACTTTATCAGGGTAGAAATTAAGAAAAAGAGATGGGGACAATCTCAACAGAATGACTATTATCTCCATATGTAGGTTTTATTATAAAAACAATCTGTTATTTGAGCAGCACAGTTCAGTGTATTAAATTGTTAAAGAAATCCTGCTGAATCTGCAATCTCCATTTCCTCCATTTTCCTTGAGTGACAATGAGCAAAAGGCATTTCTTTGAAAAATCTAATAGCTAGCAACTGTCAGAATACATTTTTCTACATGAATATTGTCTTGATTGTCCCAACGGGGAAATCATATGTATAAAAACATTGTTCTCAGCATTATGCTGAGCACTTGTTCCTCACATCTGTATCAGGAGTGCCACAGGCCTTTAATTTTTTCAGGACATGTATATTTAAGATGTTGGCAGTAATTCTTATGATATTAGGGTAAGTTTCCCAAACTTCTTTCTTCGTTATCCAAAACTGTTGATCCAAAAGTTTTTTTTATCCAATGTAAGTAAAATACTTTAAGTCAATATAAATGTTCCTGTTGTGATTGGGTAATGCATTTAAAGGCAAAAATGTAATAAACTGATGGTGTAATTACTGTATATGGGAGTATCAACATCTACATTCTACAGCAATGCAAAAGCAAACCCATTGAAGAGCAGCTTTGCACACCTGAAACATACATACCATGGTTTATCTTTAAAAAAAACAACTGGTTTGAAACAAAGATCAGATCTTCTAATTATTGGACTAGAAATAAATTTTAACCAAGAAATAGAAGTAATGAAAATACGAATCAGAATCTTAGAATTAGGAATTGTTGAGTTTAACTTGAATTCTTCATGTTCAATTTCACCAATATGTAGATTATTTCCTATTTTATGAGGAATGATTCATTTTAATCAAGATACTAGGGATATTGCTTGAAAATCCATTATCAGCTTGTCCAGCGTTGAAATATGGTTACCACTGAATAGCATTCATCTGCATCGGGTAGCATTCAACAAAACAGTTCAATTTCACCTTAACCAGGAATACTTTTTTTAATTAGTGACCCTAATTTAGGGTCTTAAATTCTTCTTCTTTAAAGTATTAAGTTTGACAGAAAATAAGAAATACACTAGACTTTTATATAACTATTGATTTAAATAAATTATACCCAAACTGTTATAATTGTACTTATTCTTATATTTACCTTTCAATCAATGCAATTGAATGCAATTTATTATCTTAGTAGAATATATTCTAGGTCTGCATAACATAATTTTTTGCAAGTGGGAATGTTGTTTCAGATTTAGTTTGGGAATCTAATCAAAAAGCAAAGCTTGACTCCTAGTGACCATCTAGATACGGTAGTTCCAAATAGGGGATTTTTTTGGTAACAATATAGGTATTACCTATATATTTTTTGCCTATATTGCCTTGCCATTGCCTTCATCCAAGATCCAGTCCCCCTCTTCTAGCTTAGCCTGTAGACCCAGGCTGAATTATTTATTCAATATTAATCTTGTCCAGGCACATTTTTGTTTGTGTTGGAGATCAGCTCTTTGATGCCACCTGTGGTGACAAGTATTTCATTCATAATTGTAAAAAGGCTGCATAAAATTCCATCTTAAACTGCCCTCATTGAAATACAAGGTATGGAGATGGGCAGAAACTAAGATAGATGGGCATCTGAAAAGAAAATATTGTTTATTCTCTGAAAAAAGGCAATGAAAGTTAAAATTCCCAAATGTATAAAACTTAAACCAATTCTTTACTATAAATACTATTGTTGGATCTTCTCATCCCCAAACAATTAGACTGAATATTTAAACCTACTACAGTATACCAATTTAAATCTGCTTTTCAATTATTTATGTAATTCATTTGCAAAAAACAGTTTGTACTGATCTGGGACTAGAATTAGAGACTGAAGCACCTGGTGTATGAATGCTTTCTTCATTGATTAAACCATGAAAAAAGATAACTGAATGTAATAGAAAACATTACTTTTGTTAGGACTATTTTTCAATGAGATTGGGAGTTGAAATGTCACAAAGGAACAATATATACTGTAACCTGGTTTCAGTCAATTCTGCTGAATATAATGGAGTTACATGCCTGTTTAATTAAGCTATCATAAACAACCTTTAAGTACATATTTTTCAAATACAAATGATCAGCACACTATATTGTTAC